ACACACCCATACTTGCTTGCTCACAGTGAGTCCAGCAAATACACTCTGGATGTGAAATGTTATTAAGCCAGTGTTGTCCAAACTTGGCCACTTTGAGTGGACTTCAACTCCCAGAATTCCCCATGGCTGGCTGGGGAATTCTGGGAGTTGAAGTCCACTCATCTTAAAGTGGCCAAGTTTGGACAACACTGGCTTAATAACATTTCACATCCAGAGTGTATTTGCTGGACTCACTGTGAGCAAGCAAGTATGGGTGTGTAAATGTGTTTAAAGCCTTTTTCGCCAGGGTGAAGAAATCTAATTTGCTTTTCCGGGATGCAACCTTAACATGAATTGGTAACAGAAAGAGCATCCATGCAGTCAAGGGTTGCACTGGTAGCCATGTTACACGTACCAGTTGAGTCTGTCAGCGCAGCTTGGGACTGCTCTGTGATCCCCCAAGCAAGAGGCAAGGGCCTGACTTCCAGCAGCCAGGCAGCACCATCTCTCTGGCTCCTACAAGAAGGTGGCAATGAAGAGGGGTGGCTGATGTTTTATGCTTTAGGTTCTCGGCTTTTCAAAGGAGCTAGGTGGGAGAGAGGTGCGTGTTACAGAACTGCCAAGAGACTGCTGACAGATATATGCAGCTAGCTAACATTTCCCAAGGTCTGTGATATAACAGTCACTCCCACTTGGCTACGTTTCCTCATGAATTCCTTCCACATGGCCTCATGAGAACATCTGTCTGCCTTAAAAATCCCATAGTAGGTGTGTTGTAAAGTAGCTGGAATCAGTGGCCAAGGAAATACTTCCTGCAGATACAGCTCCCAATCCTGAATACCAGTTTAAGTCAAAACAATTGAACAAGTAGCATTAAGCACGTAGCCTCAGAAGAAAAACCTGAGTGAGGCAGGGCCTTTATAGCAAACAAATGAGCTTTTGAATTCTCTGGTTATATTTTAAACAAAGTGCAAGAATGGGGAAAGTTATGTTACCTAATGTTGACACCACAGAAATTACCTTTAGCCCTGGCTTGAAGATAAAATGCAGGAGAAATAGGTAGTAAGTCACAAATGTTCAGATTTGAGCCCTAACAGATGGTATACAGGTTGAGATCTTAGGACTGTTAGGATAAACATAAATGATTGTTCCCCCTGCCTCCCTTTTTGAAAATATAATGAAAGAATTGCCATTGTATGGATTTTTGAATCCTTTTATTTAGTTTCTGCTACATGTTTTAGCACAAAGCAGCATCTGCTGAGTCCCCTTTTGATTATAGGTCTAAGTGTTTCACCAAGTTCAAGTAGCTTAGTTACATAATAACTACAAGACTTGCATTCAGATCAGAACAAATGAGATGAAAATACACAGTCTACGTGACTGTGTAGAATCTCCCCTTACTTGATACTTGGCCATATATCCAGTTGAAGTCCACACATCTTCAAGCTGCCACGATTGAGAAACACTGCTGTAGGGTACACAAGAGTACTGTATTTCTTTTTGTAATTATTACCAAAGGAAATTAAATAAGTTGGACTGAAAGATAATTATTGATCTGAAGTCAAAATACTAATGGCAAAAGAAGGATTCAAAATCCATTTTTCCAGACCATTCTACTATATTTTAAAATCTTTAGAATATTTATGTATAGGTTTGTAAAAAATAATTCAATTGTTCTATCCCGTTATAGCTTAATTTTCTCCATACCTCTTTTACTAACATAAAATCCCATGCTTGCACATGTTTCACTGCATTAATAAATAACTAGCACTTGTTGAGGCTCAAAAAACACTTATTTAGGTGTCAGTTCTTGCCACTTTTCTGCATTAACAATTTTATATTTAGATCAGCAGTACAAGAAGATCCTCTTGCAGCTACTATCCGTCCAGATTAATAGCCAATCACATTTAAAATGTCTATTTTAAATGTATTTAAATATTCAAGCTGAGAGAAAAGGTATGAAAAAGTCTTGTAAGAAGGGAAGGGAAGGAGAAAGAAGAATATCCCCCACAGCTGGAACACCTGTAACCAATTATGTTTTAGGAACAACAGAATAGTTGTGGTCTTGTCAGTAACCCCACAAGCAGTACTTTCATGGTCTGGAAGACTTACAAACTTCGCTGTTGCTTATTCAAAGTCAGCCTGCTCTCCCTAGCTGTCAATCACAGAGTAGAAAATTAGTAATCACTAATTAGTCAATAATATATGTCAGGATCAGTATACTGGAGCCTATGTCAGTGGTGTTAAGGTTGCCTTTAAAAGACGTGGGCTACTTCAGAGAGCATACGCATCTTATTCAGAGCCTTCAAGACAAAATGCATAAAATGAATTTTGGTAACGAAGGCAAGGCTTAATTGCTTTGGACACCCATGCCATTGCTATTATGATGATCGGAGTGTTTTGCATCAATGTCAAGCTGTACTGGAGAGAATGAGAATGCAGAGTCAGCATTTCATAATTAAGATGCAAGAAGCAAACTATTTTCATCCTCCATCCATGGACCTGTCAGAAACAAACCCTTGCAACTGATTATTTCCATAACCATACACGTGCTCTATAACAAGGCCATTAAACCAAGGAAGATACTTGCCTCAAGTAGAGCAATCTGAACATCATTAAGGGATAAAAAAGCATCACTTGTTATAGTCCTTGTATTAAAGGTCATGGAGGAAAGGTGGGGAAAATGCAGTTGGGATAGGTCTCAGGCAAGAAGACAGTTAGGAAGGGCAAACATATAATTGGTGGTGAAGGACTGCAAACAATGGATTCAAAGGCAAACACAACCAGCTGAGAAGGATGGGTTGTTTTGTGTTGGTTTTTAGTTTTGGAAGTTGTTTTTTGGTTTGGCATGCTGTGTGAATCCAGGCAATTGTGGTTTATTCAATAACCTAATTAAACAAAACATGGCTAAGTATGATCTGTGACTCAGAACAGAATCTAATTTCCCAGCTCATCTGAACCATTTCCATTTGCAGCTATGGAAACTCACAGCTTTTCAAACCAGCTTCTCATGAGATGATAGATTAGAAAATTAGATTCTGTCATTACATTTGCAATGTATCTTGAAATGATTAATAGAATTCCCAAACTCTAGGTGAGATTAGCTTTGCCCATTCTACTGCTCTTCAGCTGTGTGGATTTCAACTCTAATCATTCCCAGCCAGCATAGCAAAAGGATGCATATTGTAAGATTTGAAGTGCTGAATATCTGGAGGGCATAAGGATGTGACAGGTTGACCAAAGTCATTTAAGGAAAAAGCTTTAAATATAATTGATCTCTAAAGAAGAAATTGCATGCTCAGTAAGTTTTGTAGCCAAGGAGATTGAATGAATATGGTCATAAGTGTGCAACGTTCTGGTTCACACTCTGTCCTAAGCCATAATGTGATTTGTGTTTAGTAAGACCATGCAAAATGTTTGAAGGGGTGCTTTGCCAAGTGCAACAGCTTTCTCCAGAAGCACTGACACAGCTTTCACATGCGGCCTGTCCATGCAGAGACAATACTTCAGCTGGGACTTCTGGCCAAATGCACCTATGTTCATGCAGACACCCCTAGTTAGCTGCCTCTGCATCTCTTTTCCTTCTTGGTAATCATTCCTTGACCTTTGTAGTCCTGTTAAAGGCTGTGGCCTTTTTTTCCTTTGTGGACATTTTCTCTTATTTTGGGTGCCTAGATTCAGATTTCTAGGTCTAATTATATAGAAACTTTGCCCCTTATAGTTGGTAGTCCACAGACCTGCAATTAAGGTATATGAGCCTTGTGGCTAAGTGCCCAAGTTGTTTTATGATGAAGGCTCATATCCTGAGCATATCCTTTGGCTGTCACTTTGGATAATTCCTTCCTTCCCATCTCCACTTCTCTAGCAGGCTTGAACTTTCTCAAATACCCATTAGGTAGTGAGGATGGGGTAAGGACATTATTAGAATTAGAAACCAATTTCTTCCTATATTTCCTCTAACTGCAAAGAGCCATTCTGAATCAGAAAAAGGTGAGTTTGAGAGAAGAAAAATTGTCTTTGTTCTTTGCCTTGTGAAATAATTTTTTTCCTTCAAGTTCTTAATTCTTCAACATTAATAACACAATTGTGAAAATGCAGAGAATATTGTATTTAATTGACTGTTTTGAGGAAGGAGTGGATTTAGACTTCTGCGAATTGTATAAATGTCAGTGCTAATAGGAACTGTCTCATGTTGGAAGCACCTGGCCATTGTTTATGTCTACATATGTTATGCCTCCATTTAGATTCTGGCTTGCTTTCTCCTATGCTCCAGAACAGCTACAAGATTGCATTCTTTGGGGAGACAGAACTTTCTCTTCAGAGCAGGTAAAACTCTATATTAGCAACAGATTTTATACAAATGGGACAATATCTGTCCATGCAAATGGGCAACTGTTTTAAATAAGAATGTGTTAGAAAATGTTTTTCACTGCTCTGAAGCACCTTGTCACACTGTCAGCGCCTACTTCACTCAAAGCTCTATTTTCCTGGGACCCTTGCAGGCCCAGGAAAAGCAGCAGCTTCTCTAAGGAGGTGCCGGCAGGTGCAGCATGGATCCCGTACCTGAAGCATCTTTTGGCTTCATCCTGGCACACTGGACCACCTTACTGGGGGGAGATTTTGCTGCTCCAGAACCATTTCTTCTCCAGCAATTTTCAGTGCCCTTTTCCTGTGTCCAGCTGAAGGCCTTTCCTTTTCAGCCACACCACAGCAACAGCTACTGACAAAAGGAGCTGCAAAATTGGTAGCATGTTTTTTTTTAAAATCATCATAGCTACCAATAGGCTTTTAAGTAGAATAATGATGGCTTGGTGGCTTTGCAACAACCTCCTTATAGCATCTGCTGGGATTTTTTCCCCATGCAACCACACAATAGAAATAGCAGAGAAACCTTTCTCTGCACTGTGTGGGGTGTAAGAGGATTTTTGATGCTTCAGGTACTACAGTAGCTTGGGGGTAGGGCAGACTACTACTACTCTCAAGGTGCTCCCTGTTGATTCTCTAGATTCTAACGTCTGCAAGCTTCAGAATGTTTTAAAGGGATTGGGAGTAGAAATAGCACAATGTAGAAGTGCCTTCAGATACCATTCAAAATTCACACTTTTTAAAACGTTTTAAAAGTTTGTATGTGGATGATGTATACATTTATAAAATAATGTACCAAATAGCATATATCTGGCAAAACTGCAAACAAATGCATTTGTTTGAGATAAGTGCATCAAAGCTATACATGTTTTAATAAACATACTAAACCACCAAGGAGATCTCAGCCCCATTTTTCTCACTTCTTTTTGAGGATCTCATCCTCCCACCATTTTCTCCATCTTCCCCTTTTCCACCCATGCACTCTTCTGTGTGACCTCCCATTTATTTATTTCACATTATTTTAATGCCCACATTGGATATGAAAGCATGAGCACATAATTGATTAAAAAGCACTGGGTTTTGATCAGCCCTAAGTCCCTCTCCATTCCTACTGCAATGCGTGATTGGTGGAGGTGTTTCCCACTGGCTGGTGACATGCTGGAAGGGACGGCAGCAAAGCCAGAGGAAAAAAACCCAAGCACTTTGGCTATCATGATTGGCACATGTACAAATCAAGACAAACTCATCTAGCAATAACCTACCATGGATGCCATATGTGCAGGATAGAGACTGGCAATGGGGGTCAGCAAATTTTTATGCCAGTGTTATTTTAACTCAGAAGTGGGGGGAAAATTAGACAAAGATCTCTTATTTGTTCTCCACTTCCAGGAATAATCAAGTCCCTAGCTTGACTACAGGCAAATTGTTCTCACAGATTAATTCCAGGTCAACCACCACTTCAGATGGTAGGCACTACCATCTGAATTTGTTCAAGATTGTGGACACTACACACACACATGCAAAATACAGAATCTTGGATCACATCTGAAAACCCAAATATCTTGCAAAACTTGGTTATTTTACAAGATTTTGAGAGTTTTGAAGGGTTGAAGTCATTACCTAGGAGTGTTGTGAATGGTAAGGCAGCCAGAATGTTATACTGACAAACCTTGGAGTAGTCAAACTTGTATAGCTTTGGTGAAGTTAGAATTAATTATACCCATCAATTCTGGGCTGGAGACAAAATATTCAGCTAAGAAAAATACTAGTCTTATTTCAATTTCCCTCAGCGTTACTTTTCCCTGACAAAGCCAGGAAAATATGATAAAGCTTTGTGATTTCACTTTTTCACACAAAAAATTTTTTTAACCACACAGGAGCAAGTATTATAGAATATGGGCATTCATGAGGCAAAAGACTGAAATGATACAAGTACTATATAGATATGTTTACTGCATGATCATTGTTGTAAGTATGGAATTAAGTGATATCAAAGTTATGTATATAAAGCATTTGCCCAAGCCACCATAATCTTTAAATGGTAACCAAGAAGGGTATTTTATGCAACTTCTGGCAATTAAACGCATGCCATCAGTATCCATTACTGTCTAGTGGAAGATGGCATCAAGTTTGAGTCTTGTAGTATAAGTAACATGCGGCTCTTGCCACATTCATTTTTAGTATTAATGAGGCACAGGAAAAGCAGATCTAATGAAATAGACTCTTTATTGCTGCACGCATGCTTATATATTAAGCTTTTAAATATATAATTATATTGCCATTCTGTAAAGCTTTACATTCTCTTTATTTTAAATAACAGAGGGTTGAGTTAAAGTAAGACCATAATAGGAAGTAGTCTTACATCTAAACTCTTTTACAATATAATTAATAGCCAGGAAGACTATACCAATAAATAGAAATCCATTATTTTCATATCTTCTTTGGATTTACAGGAGGTGATCTTTCACTACATGTTAAGTAGATACTAGTCTGTTTTTATCCACAGCCCTGATTTACACAAGGGCAACAAACAAAATACAAGACAGAGCAAAGGGACAGCTCATCAAGGAGCTGAATTCTGAGAAGCAGCTTCTAAATTCAGTCATACTGGAAATTCATTCTGCATTTACTTACCATTCTCAGTAGTATGAACAAAGCTTTGTTCGGCCACTTTCGCTTCCCATCTAGAAGTTAACCAGATGAACTTCACTTGACAATATTTTTAAAAAGTCTTTTTACTTAGAGAACCCCAATGGCAATTACCAGTACTAATTTCCTGTGCTTATATCATGTTAGCTTTACTAGATATTGCAAGGAAGAGGAAAATACTAGGAGCTTAAAAAAGCTCACTGTGCTCTCTTTCTTTTTGTTCCAATAATTCACTGTTCATGGAGAGAATGAAAACAGAAAAAGAAAGTAGTTATGTTTTTTTTCCAGTATGATGTCCATTTATCCACTAGGGGGGCCTTATAAGTTGGTACAAGAAAGATCCTATAATGTTTGCCAAAGATGTTTGCCAAAAAAAAATTTCAAGCAATCCAGCATTTAACTTCCCATTTCCCTAGTAAAATGCAGGAAAAGAAACATCCTGGCCAGGCTTTTATTTATGGTTCCTGAATAACAGACTAATTCCATGTGTTTTTAAATAAGCACCATTCCTTTAAGAGGTACGCTTCCCTTGGCATACTATTAGGAAATACACATCCAACTTCTTGACCTTAGGTGTAAAGAGGAATCAGTGCATGGAAAACTGTAGCAATTAGAGTCCCACATCACATTTGCCAGATCAATGTCTCACTAAAGTTAATCTACCAACGCAACTCTGAACACTTACTAACAATATTAGTGTAGGAATAATAATGTCTCACAAAGTCAGGATAATCCAGATGAGATTTAGCATGTTGTCAAATTTCTTTCTCTAATAATGAGGACATAATTCAAGAGAGGTAGGGGGGCACAGAACCCTGGCTGATCTACCTAGTGCTCATTTCCACATTAAGTGCTGCATTTTTCCTGTGTTCACCCTTCCCCACCCCATCTCTCTCTCCCACAGCTACGATGGCCACAATGCATTTTCCATCTATCATCCATATTAATGGGGGGAGTAACAAAGGACACAATGCACACTGGATAGTGGTGAGACACCATTTACTTACAGACTAAGATCTTATTGACCAGAGTCTAAGTTGCCTCTTCTCTGCCCAGTGTGTCAGGATATCATGATGCAAATTATGAAAGGTCAGGTAGAAAACTTCACAACTAACGGTAGTTCAGGGCACTTCTATGTCTCTGCTGTGCTGCTCTGAACCTAGTCATTAAATTACATCTCATGAGTATCTGTATACACGTTAGATTTAATATATACAGAATGGGGAAAGAGCACCCGTCCCATTTAGGAAACCTGACGATTAACTACATATAGCCAGCCACAACATCTGCATACACAGGGATGTGTGGCCCCATACCTCAGTGCAGCCTACAATAGGATATTGTTAAATTTTCATAGACTGTCACATATGTGACCTTAGTGTGCACTAACCAGAATCAAATTATGTATATCCTAAGGTATTGCACTGTATAGACTATGCCATGTGAGTATGTTCCCAGATGCCACTGAATGTGTCAAAGGGTAGAACTGGTCAGCATGAAGGTACCTCCTACCCCTCACAATATTGGGAACTGCACAAGACTAATTTATGCTTCCACTGCCAAAGGGAAACAATGCTCCATCGGTCCATTATGGAATCATGCAAGTACACCACACTCACTTATACATACACACTCCATGCTGAAATCTGTAAATCATTTGAGTGAAACCCCAAGTATAGTAAAATCAAAGGAACATTACTATTGAACAGATATGCAGACATGCTAAATCTCCATGTCTCAATGTCCCCTACAAAAGAGCAGGAAATAGTGGGTGGCCAAGTGCTTTTGCACCTAGTGGTGGCAGAATCTTTTATTTCAAGAAGCACAAATGAGAATTTTTTAAAAAAGTAAATGAACTTGACCACCTGATGAATAAGGCATCTGGATGAGAAATTAAGGATCTGCTCAGTTCCAGCTGCATACATTTGGAAGAGAAGTTTGTAAGACTAACAGCAGGCAACTTTAGCTTCTACTGCACCAACCCAATATTCTTATAGTTCAGTAAAAGCATTTATTTATTTCTTTACCCAGCAGGAATGCCCATGTACTGAAGGCTGGACCCATTTTCACTGGGCTTTTTTGTACTGTAATATCTGGTTCATTACATAAGAGATGCAAATCATTTATCATCAATGTAACATACACATAACCATGTTTTCAAATCAGAGATTCTTCTGGGGACCTGCTTCTTGGAAGAAGAAAAAAAAATCCAGATACAGTAGTCAGTAAGATAAAAAAGGGGGAAAACTTATTTAAAGCATGAAGAAATGAGAAAATTCAAAGAGAGAGAAAAATATGTGAATTGCAGAAATTAACTCTGAACTGATACTTCATATAGTTACACAAGAAAATATCCCAGATTAACATTCAAGTCCTATGCTAGCCAAAAGGTTATCCAGAGCTTCCAATTTTTGGTTAGCTTCTTCAATTGCACTGTAAGTTTGAACATTGCTGGTTATGTGAAAACGGATGTCGTCCACAAGAGGAATAGAGTCTGTCTCCTGCCGTTCCTCCACTGCGTCAGCATTCTCTTTCACCGCTGCTGCAAATTCCTCAAACTCCACTAACTGAAGAAACAACAGACAGATGAGAAGATGGATATTCAAAAGAATCTTTAACAGACTGCCTTCACTTATACTTTAATTGGCAGCAAAAGTATGTTCTCATCCAGAGTGCAGAATCCTGCAGCATACAAGTGCAAGTCAGCTATCCCTAAAAGCTATTGTTTTCACTAGCCTAATTCTGCTCTGAGGAGGAGGATCAGAGAAGCATGAAAAATGTATCTTAAAAATACGGCCTTCTAATACTGTAACAGGAACAACAACAATATAGTGATGGCACCTTTTAAAAAAATTACTCAGGATCTTGGGATCAAACCATGACCCTTTGGCCTTTTAGCCAGACTGCTTTTAAACACACAGCTTCTCACAGGGGAATGTTTGCAGCCTCACTCACATCATAGTAAGTATGTCTCCACCTCATGCTTCTGTTCTTGATAGCTTCTTCCAATAAGCTATAGCAATAAGATAATTCTTATTAAGCAATTAAATAATTCTTTCAATTCTGAACTCTGGGGAGATTAGCCCAACACCTCATACTGGTTTGGAGATTAGAGGAACAAAGAATCAATTATTGGGCCTAGGACAAGCAAAACTGGGCCATGCTTGTTCCTATTAAAAAAAACATAGGTGAGGAACTTTTGTATTAATGAAACTGTTAAAAAAAAATTGGGTGTATTTTCACAGACAGGAAAGAATTTCACACCTCTCTCAAAGCCTGTTAACCAAAGAATGTTGCAACTTATGTGGGAGTGCTAATTAGAACCATTTATAAAATCAGTGAATTGACTAGGGTCCAAAACACTTAGGAAAAACTGGTGCTTGCTATATAGATATTCCATATTCCATAATCAAGTGTGAAATCAGATAGGAAGAAACAAGACAATTTTCTTCTCCTGGGGACAAACACTAGTATGGATATCAATGTATATAACCATACAATGTACTACAGGCTACTTAAACCACAATTCAAAAATGATTTCTCCATCGATTTAGTTAGAATGATTCAAGTAGCTTTCTCTATATGTTCTCTCAAAAGGTTCAACATAAACTCAAGGTTAAAGCAACAGGATATACATGCTGTGCACATGACCTAAGAATATATATGGTAATTCATACTCTTTTACAAATACCCTCTTGTAGCCTAAGCTGGTCCGTGCGACCAAGATTTAATATATGAAAAATACAGAGCAAATACTAATAATGAAGCCAGTGTTGTTGTTTGTATATGTAAATTTGAACAGTTATTTGCCATATGGCAAAAAAGTACACATCTGGGTACTTCATAAGCTGGGTATAAATAATTCAAGATTGGTATATATAAGGTGTTCTTCTCCCACAATGCAAACTGTGTCAGCCCATCTCATAAATACTTAGGATGAATATCTATTCACATGTTACATCTCCATCTAAAAATATCAACAACTTGCTAAGCAAATCAGGCAGACAACTGGTTCAGACAAATCACTTCAATTTGCCTACCACTTCACAAGTAATACAAAGTACTTCATATTTATATTGCATATTTTCAAAATATTATTTTAATACAGCAATCATATAAATCAGGATGATATTCATTCCAATAGTAAAGATTTTGGACTAGAGGGTTTAAGCTAAAAAAAAAAAAAAGAGTTAAAAAGGGATTTCCAAAGAAGGAAAAAGCCCGGATGTGCTGTGACTCCCTAAGTGACCACTGCTGGCTGGATAGTATAGCTGTTAAATTAAGCTGTTACAATTAAGCAATTTTAATTCTATATATTGTACTTTGTAAGCCACCCAGAGTTTCCCATTGGGGGGAGATGGGCAGAGAATAAATCCAGTGTATAAATAAATAAATAAATAAATAATAGAGACTTTATAGCCAAATAAGGACAGTCTCATACACATTCTTAATTATACCTACTCTCACATATACGGATATAACACAATTGCCACGAAGGTTCCAAGAAACCTAGGGATTAAATTAGCTGTTCTTATGAACTCATTTTGTTCATGACAAATTTAAATCACTTCAAAAAAATTCCTTCATTTTATGAAGGTTTGGCCTGGGGAAATTAAAACTTATCAAGTATTGGTTAAGAACACAGAATACCTTCTTACAGCAAGTGACATAATTGGTTCTTTTAGACCAGTTCTGTCTAGTTATTATTAGATATTAATTCAGTCATTATCTTTTTTCTTGGCCTTTTGGTGACTTTTTTGGATGTATAGAAACACGCATATACAACTATATCACCACACATATTTTGAGGTGGGAAAAATAAGGAATCTGATAGCACCTTAATACATGTTATTAAAAGGTATAAGCTTTCATGAGCTGCAGCTCAATTCATCAGATTATTTGTTGAGGGGGGAATATCTATGACAGGTTTCAGCTGAAGCTGGCAATGTTAGGATTTTTGTTAGTGGTCATCTTTTTCTTCTATTTACTCCACCTTTGATGGGACTGCTTTAAATTTAGGATTGTCTTGCTCCTGGCTAAACATGATACTTGTAATTGTATATAATATCTGTATTGATAAAGGGGTTTTTTTAGGTGAAGAAACAGCTTCATCTTCATGGCAGAGTTTTCACCTTTCTCACTACAATACAGGAAGTAGTGTTTATTTCACTCTATGACATCCCTTGCTATAGGCATCCATTTCTATAGAAACCAACTGTGGTTATGGTTATAACAAAAATAAAACAACAAATTTTACAAATAAAATAATTGCTTATTGTAACTATGGGTAGCTACTTAGCAGTTTTAAAGATCTTCAACATCAGACAGTAATTTGCTGCCTGCCACAGACAAACAATATCAATAGGAGCTGTCCTTCACCTCCCCTCTCTTACCTTCTCAATTATCTTGGCCATATACTCTGTGCACTGATCTTCCAACCGGATCAGCTGGAATAGCTTTGCAATCTTCCAGATGCTGACAACATTGTCCTCATCAAGAACCTGTGCCAAAGTTCTCCCACACAGGCGCTTGAGGCCAGGCAACAGGTACATATCGGCGACACAAAGCACTTCATAGGCATTTTCAGGAGACAACTGCTGGGACAAAAAGATATCAACACAACTAGACTCAGTAGGAATCCAAGCCAACATACTGTCTGGCTGCAAGACAGACTGAAAGCCCAATCTGGATTAGGACTAAGGAGACCCGGACTCTAGTTCACCCTCAGCCGTGGAAGTTCATTCTGAGCCACTCACACACTCTCTCCTTAATCCACCTCATAGGGCTGTTGTAGGGGGAAAAAACTGATGGAGGTAGTGCTATGTAGGGTGCCCAGAGTTCCTTGAGGAAAGGAGAAGTATAAATCCAACAAATAATAATATGACTGAAAGATGTAAGATTGATTGTTTTAATATCCACATGTGTACACAAAAAGCTAAACCCATAGTAGAAGTAGTTTTATTTTAAATCAGTAGATGCTCTAACTTCCCTTCAGATCACCAAATAGGTGTCTCTGTCTATGATGTGAATTACTGAGAGAACCCAGAAAGCAGCGCTAAGAGAGCTTTTTTACAAGAAAAGAGAGCATGCACTGCCTAGGCTGGAGGCAGGCCACAGGCATGAACCAGTTTTAAAAGGGAGGCAAATTCTCTTCTCAAGTTGGCTCATGATGTCATCAAAGAAATAAATTCGAAAAGTGAAATGAAATCTATTTGGTAAGTTCAAACTGTTCAGTTTAAGAAGACATTTGTCTATATTATAGACATTTATCCTATGAAATAATCTTGGGAAAAGATAGCTTTTCCAGAGAAAAGTAAGGAATGCAAATTAATTAAAATGTGAAGTTGGAAGAATCTCACAAAAGTTTCCCCATAGTCACTAAGTTCCATAATTGAACAATAATTCACAAGCAAATATTATGTGTTCACTTCAATAAGTGACATCTGGGATCATATTCCTCACCTCCCTGATCTGGACAGGTATAATTTAAGATTAATCAACCTACAATATTGTTAATGATTACACACAGCATTCATATTTTCAGTAACAGATGAATCTATTGGATTCTATTAGATTTAACTAAATTAAGCTAATGATAAATGGTACTAATAAAAGATATTCAGCTTTTATCAGTTTTCCAGAGAGAAAAAATATGGTATCCAAAAAAAAAGATTTCAGCAACATGAACCTGGGATGCTCTAGGAGCTGAAAAATATAGAGCTGAATGCTGTTGCACGTGGCCCATAAGTTGCAGGTTGTCTATTCCTGGCCTACCTTAATTGTTGTTGTCAGCTCAGTTTACATTGCTTAGCAAGGCAGCTCAAAAATACATTCCTAATAGCCATCTGCTGCTGTATGATCCCAGAACATAAGACATGATCTTTAAAACTATAAAAGAGGGAAGTATACACAGTTTCAGATCTTTTGTTTATCTCACAATACAGGTAGTCTTCATTTAATGATCATTCATTCAGCAACCATTTTAAGTTACATGGCACTGAACAAATGGTGTTTATGACCAGTCTTCAAAGTTATGGCCATTGCAGCGCCCCCATGATCATGTGGTCAAAATTCAGTTGCTTGGCAGCCTTTACAACTGCAAGGTATGCTATAACTCCCCCCACCTGCCTATCTCTCCCCCATCTCTGCCCTTTTGGCCACCCTGCCCTCCACTGCCCCTGCCACCCCACACTCCACCCTGCACCTCCAGCTGACCTCTTCTTCCTCCTGCTGCTGCTGAGGTGTGGCCAGCAGCTGCCTTGTGAAGGGCCAGGCTAGGTGTGCCTTGTCAGCAGTGGGAGGAAGGTACAGATCAGCTGGGGGTAGCAGGGGTGGCAGAGGGCAGAGCGGCAGGGGTGGTGGAGTGCAGGTCAGCCAAAAGGGCAGAGATGGGAGGGAAATAGACGGGTGGGGGGAGTTGAAGCACACCCTGCAATCATAAATGCAGGCAGGCTGCCAAATACCCAAATTTTGATTATGTGACCGTGGGAGCGCTGCAACGGTCATAACTTTGAGGATCGGTCATAAATACCATTTGTTCAGCACCGTCGTAACTTTGAACAGTTGCTGTATGAATGATCATTCAGCGAGGACTAGCTGTATTGTATTTGCAAAAGACATCAAGCTAGGGGGAGTAAATAACATCTAAGAAAACAAAATCATGATTCAAAATGACCTTGACAGTGCAACTAGGAAACTGTTTTTTAGCTAGTTAAAGGAAAACAAACAAAGACAGATGGCTTAGCTGGCAGCTTTATTGTTGCCCTGCAGGGCAGCAAAGGAAAAAGGAAAGTGCACAGTCTCAAACATTCCACAGAGCAACATGAGCTCTCATAACAATCTATTCTCTATAGAACAGTACCCCAAAACTGTGAAACTCTTCCTCATGCAATAAATTTAGGGATAAGACTGAGACAATAACTGAGCTTTCATATTAGAAAGTCACTATTACTATCTTTCACTTACACGTGTAGAAGAGCAAATATGGTTATTCTAAGACACAAAACAGGCAAAAAGCAGTTCTTGCAGAGAGCAACCCAATGCCTAAAATCCATTTCAGAGAAAAGGCTGCAGGGCTTCTCTGCCTGTATTCCTGCCTTTCAGTACATGATGTCTGAATTCTATGCAGTGAAATTAGGCTAGCTCATTGTGAGATATACATTCAATTTTCCTTGGGGATGAGGTTTCCACCTCCCACTTTACCTGTCACACCACTAGCTGATGGGACACCATGGCTGAGATTGTTAACGTACAATGTTTTCTATATACTCAAAGAAATATGGCAGACCATTCTTTTTCTCATGACTTCATCTTAAAGTCCATTTTGCCCTAAGACCACTGCTGATTTGACCGCATTACAATGGATTACTGAATATGACAATTATCACACTTCCATTTTACACTGAAAATTCACCATCTTGGAAGAAGGTATTTAGTGGGCAATTGCCTAGAATCATTTTGACATTACGAACACTACACTACTGTTTCATGTCCACTACCTTTTTGAAGAATTCTCATCAAACAAGCCCATCATTACTCATGAAAAATACATGTTCAATAAGTTCTTCAGAATTGAATTGTCAGAATATGGTGCAGAAAATATAGTATCCATGCTATAGAGTTCATTTCCATTAACATTTCTTTCTAAATTCTAAAACTGAAACCATGGCTTTGCACTAGATGCGACAAGAAAATGCAGCATAAAAACAGCATAAACTATTTTTAGCCCTGGCCAGTTTGCTAATTGTGTACTGCCCTCTACTGGCAAACTGACCACTCTATATGTCATCAGACTTTCTGTAAAGTCACCTTTCAGTTGAGCTCAACTCCTGGTCGCTTCATGGATACATCCATGTAGTATTCTTGCAATAACTACCATTGCTGCTTCTGAAACATTATTTTCATCTTCCCAATTAAGCCATCAGTATACCCTACAAAAATATTCCCCATTACTATCAGGAATAAAAAAAAGACTATCTATCTATCTATCTATCTATCTATCTATCTATCTATCTATCTATCTATCTAT